CATTCCTGGGTCAACCAGCAATGAGGTGGGCTGGGCTGGGCTGGCCGTCAGAGGGAACCCAGCCAGAGACAGCAGGAAACAGCTGTGCAGGAGGTGGTGGGCAGAGCACAGGGCACCCGTGGAGTTGCAGCAGGAGCCAGGCCCTCCACAGGCACAGGGAAAGGTATAGAGCAAGTGACTCCTACAACCAACCTCTACCACATCTCTCCTGTGCACAGGGCATCCGACAGAGTCGTGATGGCCGCCAGTATCATGATGTCCAGTCCACTGGTGAGGATGCTGCAGCTCCCAGAGCTTCAGAGTCATGTTCACGTGGACATACTGGCACCTGAATCCAGGTTTTCCAACTCCACTCCATTTCTCCAGGACTCAGAGGCAGGATTCCAAGCCAGGATGGGACTCAGGCATGAGGGATAACCTGAACCCCTGACTCTAAAATTAGAGAAAACGGAGGGCCTTTGATTCTCTGGACAGGTCGGACCAAATCTCCAAGTCCCACTAAAGACTGGGGCTCTTTTAATTCATCATTCTGTGGTCAGCTCAGTGCATGAAGGTAGTTCAATCATGACTCATTCCCAGAGAGAGCTTCTCTCCTCCCAGAAATCCCCTCTTGGGGCCCCACACACTCAGACAGATTGCCCTTCCATGCTGCTTGCACGGGGCCAGTGACAGAGGGCTCGCCCCTATGAATGCATTCCATCTCCTCGCTTGGTTTTGAGAGAGCCTTAACTAGTGAAGAGAAGGGGGTACGCCCATGAAGAAGTAGCTGGGATGGTCTCCAGGGCCCCTGCTCTCTCTAGCCCTCTCCCTTTGGCCTCTGGATTTCCAAGCCCAGTTCCCAGATTGGAAACCATTTTCTATTTAGGGATATACACTCCCAGCAAGCACCAGGTGCCAGGGCTGTCTCACATGCCTATGTGCTGGGTGGGAGAATCATAGATCTCTAGGGCCCTCATTTCCTCCAGCCAGGGCTGCTGCAGCCTCCCTGGTTTCCCCACTCTGATTTCCCCTAAGAAATCCCACTCAGCCTGTGACCTTGGGCCACTACCTCCCTCCATCTTTCCCTCTGGGCCTGGCGTCCCTGTCTGTCAAGCGAAGGAACAATCCTTAAATGTGTTATGTTCCAACTGGCAAAGATCCCTAGACTGTCATCTTCCAGATGGGTGAAGAGAAGTGGGTGAGGCCAGCTGGACCCCTGGCTGAGGCAGGGGTGGGAGAGCAGACCCCAGGCCCATCCTGCTGCTTATCTCACCAATGCCTGCTTTTGTCTAGAGCTCACAGCAAGCAGGTGAGTTCAAATTCCATTAAGGACAATTATCTCTTCATTTGCATATGCTAAATGTGACATTTCAGGGACCAGTTTCTCCCTACCCCAAACAGGATAAAAGTCCAATGACAGGCAGGCATCCTGCCGTTTGGGGCAGAGGTATAATTGGCTCTTATTAAGGGAAGATGTAGAGAGATACAGGTTTTGAAATGCAAATGATGGGATCACTCCTTCCACTGGGGCTGATGGCCTTGTGTAGGGCCAGGTTGGCCCTCCTGTCTGCTCCACATCTGGGCAGGGCAGGTATCCTGACTCACTGAGAGAGACAGAGAGAGAGAGAGAAAGAGAGAAGCTGGGCAGAGGAAGAGGCACATTCTCCTGGAGAGAGAGGGACTTACCTTGGACCCTCCCCCATTTGAGTCAAGCAGATCCTGTTCCCTAAAGTAGGATCTGTGAGCATGTTCCTCCCTGGCTCAGAACCTCCCACCGTATCTTCAGGTGCAGCTACTGCCAGATTCCAGCCACAACACGGAAATAGACAAACACTCCCCACCACATTAGACCTTTGCCGTTCTGTGACTGAGAGGCCCTCCTCCTCCCACCCGCCTGGCGAGCTCTCTCGCTTCAAATCAGCTCAAAAGGAGCCTCCTCTATGAAACCTGCCCCAGTATCCCCGCTGAACTAATGATGGCCTCTATGCACAGGAGTGGCCTCCCCATGGATACAGAGAGTCCCTGGAGGCAAGAGAAATTCTGACTCATCTCTGTGTAAGTACGTGCCCAGAGCTAGCTCGCCAAAGGAGCTGAGATTGGTGAACGCTGAGAGGAAGTACCGATGGGTGGGTGGATGGATGGTCAGACAGATGGCTGGAAGGATGGAGCCTTTTGCGTGCTCTTATTAGGCTTTGCCCTACACTTGCCTTAACAGTTACTCATAGCACTCCCCATCAGACAGATGAGGAAAAGTGAGGCTGATGAGATAGACTCCACCTCCAACTCATCAGGGAACTTGAAGAAGTAGGGCCTCCAACACCATCCCGGCTTCCCCATCAGGTTGGACTGCCATAGCTAGGCACTGACGTCCTCGACATTACAGGGGCCTTTGGCCTGGCTGCTGCCACCACATCCAAGGGGGTCATACGTCTTGACCTGCCTTACCTCCTGGCCCCTCCAGATCCAGTCACTGATGCTGAGGCAGGTGTGGAAGTTGTTGTCCTCTCACCGATCACTGACTCCCACGTGAGTATTCTCTAAGCAAAGAAAGAGAAGCTCTCTGGGTCTGCAGGAGAGGAAGGACCTGTGCATAACCTGCCATTACCTCAGTCATCTAGAGCTATCCTCTGTCCTGAGGAACTCAGGAGGGGATAGGGGACAGAAAGAATGCAGAGAGGACCCTGGGCTCCTGCAGTCCCAGCCTGCTCTGCTGAATCATGGGTCTCTCCCCTCTGCCTCTGTCTCCCCACTGCTACAGCAGGGGCTTGGCAGGCAAGCAGAGCCCAAGTTTACTCACTTTGCAGCTCATCACCTATGAGACCTTGGGTGAGTGCTTGAGCCCATCAGAGGCTTGGTCCGTCTTCTGGAGGTGGGGATGGCAAGGACTTGCTCTCACTTTCACATCTCATCCCCAGAGAGCCCTGAGTTTCTTCCCTTTGCCCTGCAAGGTAAAGACAGAAGAGGAGACCGAGACAAGTATGTGGAGGGTAGGGGCCAGGCTGGAGCCTCCTACTCCTCCCCACATAGCCTTGACACAGAGAAGGAGGGCCGTAAACATCCAAGGCACCTCTGCTCCCCAGACAACTGAATTGAGCCAGAAGCACACTCCATATAAAACCGGTGTTCAGGACGTTGGCACAAGTCTAGAGAGCAGAGCGGGCATCCAGGAGAAGGCTCTGCCCTGAGCTTGACCTAGGGGCTCCCTCGCTGCCTAAGCCAGCGAGATCACAGAATGGAAGAGGCCACCCAGGGGTGCCTGCACCTGAACACATGTGAGAGTCCCTGGGTGCTCTCAGACTCTCAGTGTCTGCTCACACCCCCACATTGACGAAGTCAGAACACCTGGGAGGAGCCAGGCATCGCTGTGCATTAGGGTCCCCAGGTAATTCCAGTGTGATCCAAGTTTTGTGACCCAGTGGGCTACAGGACAGGTTGGGTAGTAACTGCGGGTGACCAACCAAGGCTTGACCATTTCAAAGTATTATCTTATCCATCATCCCATCTGATCCTCATGTGCAGGCTGAGGAGCCACAGCATTATATCCATTGTGCAGATGAGGAAGGTGAGCCCTAGGATGTTGCCCTGTCTCCGAGAGAGTTGTTACTAAGGCTGAGACTGGAGCCCAATCTCTGGGCCCTCAAAGCCGGGCTTTTCCTACACTGGCAGGGAGCAGTAGGCCCTTTAGGATAATTACAAAGAAATAATGACTTGGCTCCCAGGGGCTCCCAGACTCCGGGACAACCCAACTTCTCCTGGGAGGAGGTTCTGATGGTTGTGGAGAGACAGAACAGGAGGGTCCCAAGGCAGGAAGGGAGATGTTTTGTAGGCTGGATGTGGGCCAGCACGCCAGGCCAACTCATGCCTTGGCCTCGGAAGGCCCTGGCTCCAGCCCAGGAGATTCCCCCAATCTGACTTCATCCTGTGGTGTGTGGGGGTCTGTTCTGGGATGGTGGAGCCCAGACATTGTCTCTTTATCTGAGTCTTTCCTGACATCCTTCTGATAACAAAGGCGATGGCTCAACGGGGAGGTTTACTGGGAATTTCGGCTTCTTCCTCCAGGTCTGTGTTGCACACACGGACATAAAGCCCAAGGCATCATTGGCAGGGAAATTAGAGAGGCCCACAGCAGCTCTGGGGGCTGGCTTAGCTCCCACCATCCCTCCCAATCTTCATTCAAAGGCTGTCAACAGTCACTGAACCAGGCCACCCTGCGCCCCCATGTACCCCCGCCAGCCCCGGCCATGCATTTCAGGGGACTGAGGAAAAGCAAGGAGACCAGCCGTTGCATGGCATGGACTATGCACTGTTTTGCAGCCACCCAGTCCAGAGTGCAAACCCCAGCTGTGCTGTAGCCTCCCTTGCTGTGTGTCCTGGGACTAGTGGCTCCACCCCTCCAAGCCTTGGCACTGTCGTGTACAAAACGATAGTAATGACGATTTTCATCTCCAAGTAACTGTGAGCTGGGGTTTAAATAACATCATGGCTGGGTGTGAGCCTGTGAACATGTGCCTCAGTAACCCATCTCTAAAATGGAAACAATAATACCTACTTGTTGAGGTTGAGTGAGACTTAAATTCATTAAATGCGTCTATCCACATAAAATGCTTAGCCCAATGTCTGGCCAACTCCAAGCACTCGACCGTTGTCCCTGACTACCAGGCTCCTAGTTCAGGGCCTGACACACAGTAGTTCCTTAAGAAATGCCTGCTTCCTTCCTCCCCTTCCAGGCTCTTTTGGGACGTGGCCGAGTGCAGTCAGCTGCCTTCCTCCGATGCCTAGGGGCTGGCTCAGAGCCAGCCCCTTAAAAACTGGAAACGGTGCCCACTTTCTCTTCTCCTTTTTCATAAAGAGATCACAGAACAGAGGCACTGACCTTGGGCAACCTTGCACTGCAATGTTTTCCAAAAGGCAAAACACTATAAATCACAGCAGGAAAGCTCCGCAGGGCACCCACTGCCCCCACTGCTGCTGCCCCGGCCCACCTGGATAGGGCGGGGCTTTTCATCTGTTTGTATTTGTTTATTTATTTGTGGAGGATGTCCCCAGGCAGAGACCGCAGTGATATGTGGGGAGGGCATGAGAGCCTAGATGCCCTGGCAAGTAAAGAATCATGGAGACTGTATTTCTAAACCCAGGCTTGCTAAGCACCAGCCCGATGCCAGGCACCAGGCTGGGCATGGCCTCCAGCATTTCTTCTTATCCTGGTGAACACTCAGGGGCATAGCTGCCAGGATTTCCGAAGGTCAACAGCATGCTCCAGTTGACCTTGGAGAGGTAGAATAGATGGAGTTCGAACCCACACCCCATGACTCTGGATCTCCTCTTCTCTCCTCAATAAACCACACTCTTT